TTCCCGGTCTCTTCCTTTCCAACGAGGGCCATTTTATTACGCAACCGCACCCTTCGACTTCTATAATACGATCCCAGATCCTCTACGTCGGTCTCAGCCAACGCCTCGCCTATCTGCCGCTGCCCTACAACATCGGGAACCACGCGGACAGGTCCCCATTCTCTGTCACTGCCAAGATTTGGGGAAGCTTCTGCCCGACTGGCCTCGGTCTGTCCGAGATGTGGTCCAGCTCCCCTTTCCACTTGCTACTTGTGCCACCTTTTCATGCCATGGAAGACCATTTCCCTATTATCAGCTCTCTTGTCAACCATGTATATGAGTAGGATACTGATATAATAATGCGTGCGGATTTCTCTCATTGTCTACTGCTGATGGGTTGCGGCTTTTCCCCGCTTCCATCATACCTATTCCAGCCAAGATAGCTACTCGGCTTGAAATGTCCCATGTTGAGAACCACGGCTAAACGGTTAACAAGAGACCATTCTGGGTCCGGAAGTTGATTATCCGAATTCATCAAATCACACGCCCGTCAGACAAGCCATAAGAAATGAGGCTGCAGTCACGATGGCTCTTCGTAATTTCTTGTCGTGTCTCCATTTTTGCTGTCCCAAGTGCTCATAGGTGACATCTAATTAGCTATTCCCAAAATGCTAACAAGATTCGTCTCGTTCTTACCGTTATGTCTGCTGTGGATATCATGTATTATCGCAGCTCCGGCAAAGCACAGCTTGCCCAAGCAGCGGCAGGAAAATGAGCACTGGGTCGCCACCTGGACATCCATGCCCCAGCTAGTTGAACCCGACAATATGCCGCCATCCCCGTTTGTAGGTGAAAACCCTGGTGGGCGGCTCAGAGGAAAAGGTAGCTGAAGTTGAAATGAAATAGTCTGGTTCAGCAGCATTTCGAGACGCCACACTCCGCCAGACATTGCATCTGTCCATTGGGGCCGAGAGGTTACGTTTCCAAATATCTAACACCTTCGGCGGCAGCGATCTGCCAATCACGGAAGCCTCCGTAGCGCTCCCAACTGGCGGGAAGGCCGGCGTCAACGGTATAGAAACGACTTCTCTGAAGAGCCTTACTTTCAACGGGTCTAGCTCCGTTACCATTCCCGTGGGCCAAGTGATCTACACTGACCCGGTCGACTTTGAAGTCAGTTCCCAATCTATGATTACCGTAAGCCTTTATTCCCAAGCTGGTCAATCTGGGAGCAGCATCACTGGTCATCCTGGGAGTCGAACAACATCATGGATGCAACAAGGAAATCATGTGAACGGGTCTTCCGTCGTCGGGACGAGCACGAAACATTGGTACTTCCTCACCGCCGTAGAGGCTTGGGCGCCTATAACGACTGCCGCTTTAGTGATCCTCGGCGACAGCATCACAGATGGGCGTGGGAGCACAGACGATGCTAATAATCGGTTTGGCCCTCCCAGACTTTACGCCTAATTGTTATCTGCTGACGAGCTTGCAGCTGGCCGGACCTATTGCTCACTAGAATGCAAGAAGAGGGCATCACGGATATCGCCGTGTGCAACCAGGCCGCCGGTGGAAATACTGTTCTCACTGGAGGCCTTGGACCTCCATTGATGCAACGCTACAAGCGAGACCTGCTCGCGGTTGCCGGTGTGAAATATGCGCTCATCTTCGAAGGGGTGAATGATATTGGCAGTGCATCCGCCGACTCCAGCACTCAGACACGTATAGGCGACAGTCTCATTACGGCATTCAAGACTATAGCTAGTGACGCTAAAGAGGCGGGCCTGTACATCTTTGGAGCTACTATCACGCCTTTCGGAGGCAGCGGCCAGAGTTACAGCAATCCGACGAGAGATCAGACGAGACAGACGGTAAACAAATGGATTTGTGCGTGATTCATCCCATTGTCTTTCGCGACCTTCCACTTATCCACACGAACGAATACTTACCTCAGGTTCTCTAGTGGCTGGCGGCGATGGCAGTTTTGATGGAGTGGCTGATTTCGCCCAGTTCGTCGCCGACCCTTCGAACGGCGCGAATTTGGCTGCTCAGTACGACGGAGGCGATCATCTACACCCAAATGTTGCCGGTTATCAGGCCATTGCGGACAAGTTCCCGTTAGATATTTTCAACGACAATTCGATAGTTCTTTCGCTGACAGTAAATGTTGATTGATATTCTACCATAAATCAGAAAGTTGGTAGCCGTGGAGTTTTCACAGAAAAGACATAAAGCCCGTCCAAGAGCTGAACCTCATTTTCTCTTCTTCGCTGTAAGTTACCGAGTACCGGGGAATATAATTGCTTAAAAAATCTCATAGTAACGGGATTTAAGACTTGAAAGCTTACCTATCAGCAGTGTGGTCAAAAGTCCAGGTTTTTCTTGATACTGTACCTAACGACTAAAAACATGAGTATCTACATACCTATGTAGTTGATATATAACGTACCTGTTTTGCACCGAGTTTAAATAAGTTAATTTATATCTTAAACGAACGAATATTTGCTCTTACCATCTTACCGTATAAACCAGAATACTATAACTAAAATAAGACGTAGTATAGCCGTGTTTTGGTATTGTTATTATTGGGTTTTCTATAGTAGTAATAGTAGTCTTTGTTGAGTTATGAGGTATTACGACCCCTGGTTTCTTGTACCTACATATATATATATGATGGGCTTCGCCTACCTACTTATCTAGACTTACCTTGAACTAATACACTTGATCCTATTCTCATACATTCGTCTCATCTCAACAGTCTTAATAGTACGGCGTAATGATGTTGTTTACCGGAAAGGCGTATAGACGCAGATGCGTAACTGCTCCTTGTTTAACAGAGTTGATCAAAGGTAATGCGCGTTATGTTCTGAATTTAGTAACATGGCCCCCCTCGTGAGACTACCTGGGCACTTAACAGCACCGCAAAGTTTAAAAATGCCAACCTACCTACTACGATTGTAAATGAGGTGTTTAACATTTTACCTCGTACAGTTAGCATTCATCTGCATTATGGCTAAATCGAGGCAAGCGGCATACCTAAGCACCTAGGCAGTATGAAGATCTTCCTTTGTGCCCTGTCAAATGATGAGCTCCTCTCAATCACAAAATATACTTACACAGTATATAGCATAATAGGTACATCAAGGCGAACTCTACCAGATCTTCCCATATTCTCACGCAAAGTGGTTAATGCACTCTCTCATTAAACTGTTGCCCCTATAGCTAAATTTAAACTACGCCGCACGTCATCTTGTCAAAATATTATGCGCCGCAAGCTACACTTCAGGCTAAGCATCTCACATCATGTCCCATTTGTTCCAATATAGTCGACCCACCTTTTTTAAGGTCGCATTCCTTCATGTTTGCTAAAGAAGTCCTATATATATCTGTTTATAGGTGCTAATTCAACTTTACTGTCTGCAATGGGCCATACATATAGTAAACACCCATTGTGAAGTAAACATTGAACAAGAAAAAGAAGCATATTTAGCTCAGTCATATTCTCAATGGGAGGAACCTATCACCAGCTATAAAAAGAATCCCATACTCACATACAGAAAACCCTCGAAGATCTACCCGCTCTTTCTCCACCTGTCAGCCGGAGCCTCAATGTCAGCCGAATAAGCCTTATTCCGGGTCTTTCTTCACACGGTTCCGAGCCCCATATTCAGGATGAGGTTGTATGCAGTACACCAATGGCATTGGCGTGATCGTCACTATCGCACATGGATAGAGTTGGGATGCACGGCATATAGGACTCGCCATCGTGTCCAAAGCAGATAAGGAAGGTCCTTTTACAATTCTTGCCACTGTAAGTTTCGAGTACACAGAAATGGAAAGTTACCATAATCGTCAACGTGAACAGGAAGTGGCGTGAGTCAGTTTCAGTACAGTGATCACCATTTTGATGAGTGGTCCTAATCCGCTACCTACTCTTGATGACGGGACCCATACATCAAACATGTGGGCAAGCGAAGACATAGAAGTAAAATACTTTATAAATACCGGATCGAGTTTCCAGTCTCGAGTATCATCTTTCCCACCACAATCAGCAACGACAGCAACAACACTACAAAGCCAACACAGCTATCTTCATCAGCCTAGCTTCGCAATAACAACAACAAGACTTTGCATTATTATACCTCAATCAAGTATATTTCTATAACCATCATCAAAATGCACTTCTCGAGCGTTCTCAAGGTTCTCACCGGCGTCATGGCCTTTGGCGGGGTTAACGCTGCCGTGACCGGGCCCGACGCCCGATCACGAGATGTCGCCATCGACGCACGGATTGACAAGAGCCAGGTTGTCAAGTGCGCTGCGTGCGCCTTCTTCGCTTCCAAGGCTATTGAGGAGATCACTGGGTTTGGAGAAGACGGTAGTGGCCTGACGGATCTGTTGAAGGATGTTGGCCGATCTTTCGCCGGAAAGAAAATTTGCGAGCAAAGTTTTCTCAGCGCCATTGGAGGGCCGTTCTGCGAGAATGATAATGACATCAAGAAGGGAGGAGACGATATCGATGGTCAGGACCCCCAGACAGCCGCCGACCAGGTTAAGAAGAGCGACCCTGACTTCGGGAGCTCGATCACGGAGAAGATCAAGGGGTTGGGTCTCGCCGCAATTTCTACCAAGCTGCTTGGCTCTATTATTTAAACCCCCTTTGGAGCCAGTTCATATCTAGCTTTGGTATTGTCGGTGCTGAATATCAAGGAGGGCTTCTCGCATCATTCCCCAGGCATCTCTGATGAGATACCAACTGCAATCGGATCACCACAATGGTTGACAGTTTGTTCGAGTTTTGAATTAGTTGTTTCTAAAATGTAAAGTGCATCGAGAGAATAAATTACGAGCATGTATTTTATTAGTAGCAAATATCAAGGAGTTTTTTTTAAACATAATAAAACTAAATGTGAAAACATATAAATTTATATGATAAAGTCTTATTAAAAAGTAATTAAAAATAATAAAATATGTATTTAAAACTTTATTATAAAAGGGTAAAGCAAAATGAAAATAGCTATCGCCCGAGGGGGGTCTCGAACCCCCAACCTTCGGATGGACTTTTTCCCTTATCGGTATAGTGAGGTTAAAAGTCCGACGCTCTGACCAATTGAGCTACCCGGGCTGGGATGCAGGTTGCCGTTTCTAATATAAACAAGGCACATGATCTACGATGTCCTTATTTAATGATAAGTATTAACACATTTATAATTTAATTTAATTAATTTATATAATAATAAACATTGTTTTATTTTATTTTTTTATTTAATATAATTTAACTTATAACTTTTTTATTTTTATTTTTATAATATTAGTTTTTTATTATTAATTATATATAATAAAGTCTTATAAATATATAAAGTTTTAAACACTTAATAACAATAAATAAAGGCGCATTTTCATTTTTTAGTAGTTAGTATATGTCGTGGTTTCCTAGTAACTTGCCTAGCTCCTAAGTATGTATTTTCTGTTCTTGCGCACAGCGCCATCTATGCCCATTTATCCACTGTAAGTGGAGGAAGGTATAGTTTTTCGGACAGATTCGTACAGCGGTTTCAACATCTAAGAATGTAGAATCGCGCTCGGCTTCCAGAATGGCTTGCTAGGAATATGAGATCACGCTTTTAAACGCAATATATTCTTCATGGAGCGAGTAGCGGGTTGGCAACTATACTAACCTCCAAAGTTTACAACCACAGCTTTATAAAAATAGTTTTTTCTATATAGGAGAGGCAAGTCATATTGTCAGAATCAATAACTCTCGGCCTCTATTGGTAAGCGCTAGACTTGAAGGCTTTCGGCGGCGAGGGAACGAGTTGTACCAAACAAGATGGACAACAAACGTGACATTTAGATGTGAAAATATCGTTTCCATGTGTACCTCTACTATTCCTTCGCGCAACAATTGCCCTGTTATACAAATCTTATATAGGCATACATTATTGCCGATAATCTAATCAATAATCAAAGGGATAGAATACGAACAAATCAGCATCTGCTTGTCGCTGAATTATATTACTCTTTGTAGATAGGGTCGCCTGTGCAGTCATTACTCTATATAAGCACAACACATGGGAAAGAGTTTGCGATATCCTAGTACATCGGCGTAGTAATTTTTATCTTAGGGGTAGATATTAGGGATGTCTGATCGTGATAGTAGACTATTCCAATATCCTATTAACTACAGGGAGATATACATTTTTCTTCAGGGAAGTTTGAAAGTTAGCAGCGTATAAGCACAACCAATAGGTGGACTGAAGATACGAAGCAATCCTCACTCACGGTATCGGAAGGCTCAAGATTCTGTGACCTATTAGATATAACTCCTTCTCCTTGCCTGCCTATCATGGGCGAACTTAATAAAGTGTGTCGCCAATGGGGATCTCGAGCTTCGGTAGCACTATAACCTAATTTACAAGAACTGTCAGACTGTATGGAGGAATGTGTGGAGAGAAATGAGTGGTGTGAATTTGTTATGAAGACCTGCAGGACATATGCCGAAGGGTCACCCGGCAGCAATAGGGCAGGAATGCAGATGGAATCATATGGTATATTGGGCTGAAATGGAGGGGATATTCGGGCTTTAGGTCCGCAGGTACCCTTACCGTGTGCCGCACTGTCTTGTCTATATAAACGTAAGGGAATCAGGTCGAACAAGGAGAAAGGAACTTAGATTGATAAGGCTCGACCTGATGAAATATATTGACATATTCTGGCATCACTTAACGTCCCCATAACAGAATTAGATAAGCATGAAGATCATCGCTGTTTGCTTGGGGCCTGGAGGCATCCAGATGAATATCATTAAAAAATATGATGCATAATGTCGCTTACGGAGGGTATTGTGAATATAGACCGCACATGTATGTTAATTTAAATTCCAACGACCTCCCTTGATCACATATATAAAATCGGAACCCTTGAAATCGACCCACGACATTCACTATCCCGCCCTATATATAATGAAATCACCTTACGCGGCTTAACTTGAGCTTACCACTAAGGCTGCCCTTGCTGACAAGTCTGACCCTTATATCTAGCTGGCCAGCTGCGTCGATGACGGCTAGTATAAAGAATATGAAGCAACAGCTACGTGCTTTTGTGGTGCTGTACAACTGACTTTTGTAAATCTAGCATTACGAAACTGGTCTCTAGCATCCACGGAACTTCTTACTAACATATGCCTCTTCAACAATCTAAGTCTACCCAAGGCCCCGGTCTGGTTGGCACATTCGTTTGCAACTGCACAGATTGCCGCAGGACCACGGCATTCATATTCCCATTTAACGTTACTGTAGCTGACAAGTACTTGAAGCACCTGCGTGGCAGCGAGAATTTGAAGACTTTCAGTTAGCAGCGCACTAACGCCACTAGAGAAACTATGAATAATTACTTCTACCTCCATGTGCGGCATGTTCATATACCGCTTGGTGATTCCTGAGTAGCAGGACTGTTGATGACTTCAGTCTATACGAGATCAAGTTACGGTCTAGAGTAGAGTAGTTGACCAAGGATTGTGTGAGCTGGTTTAGTGATGTAGATGAGACCACGAAGTTCGAAGCGATGCTTCAAGAAATTCGAAACGTTTCTCCTCAGAGACCAATGATAATGTGGTATGCCGGAAGGTTTAGGCAGCGATTGATGCGCTCGAATCATACTTCATCAACTGGATCGAGAGCAACTGTTCTGTACGAAGGCCCATCTCCCTGTTGAAATATAAGCCTCACTAAGCTAAGGCGCATAACACATTTTTCCTAAAATCAACACTCCCTTCATATAACAACCAATTCAAGCTCGCAAAATTTCTGCATTGATCATGAGGTCGCGGAGCATTTGACCTCTTGAAGGGATCTTCAGTTTCTTAAACAATCTACTCGACCCAATTCTAGGTGTGGCAGCGATAAGGAATTACTAGGTGACTTTCAACTATTCATAGCTCAAATATAAAACCAGGCATGCCACTCTTGTCGATTAAGGTGGTTACTGATGTCATTAAAGAGATGAAAGGTATGTCACTCTTAGATACAACAGTCCAAGATGGCAGGAGAATCTACATGAAAGAGTTTTTCAGTTCTGTCCTATTAGAGAGCCACTAATATCCTTATGTTGCTGGGTTTAAAATGACATTCGTCTTGTCGAGACCTTGTTTCAGGGAACCTATTATCCGACTGAGCCCTTTATGTTGGCATATCGTCAGTACAAATGGAATTATTTATTTCCTTTCTCGAAGAGCTACGATGAAGATGGAATTCATTGTGCGATGAATTTGAATTTCAAGTACACTCAGCCAATTGTGAGCAGAATTTCCATGTCATAGTCTTGCTTATCAGATGCTTCCTTCATGGTCACATAGCTGTGGTCATCGGAAATGTGGTAAATGGCAAATCTACCTAAGGCTTGTTTGGACTTCCACTTTAACATAATATGGTTGTTTGTAAGTTGCGGATCATGGCATTGCATAACGCTCCTCCCCGGGATCGCCTGCGATCCGCGAACGCACGAAACCTTGCATGGTACACGGAAGCTCTAATATATAGATAACCGGGGAATTGACCTTAAAGTAATAGTCAAGTAGCGTGACGTAAAACGTTCGGCCTTATTTCAGTAGTTAGTCCACGTAGTCATATTTCAGTCAACCTGTTTTCTTCCTGGAGATGTAATGCAACGTCTGCACTTGCTATATAGAAAAGGCGGCTAGATTGGAAGTTTGGAGCGCATGAAGCGATGCCTGACTGAGGGGAATTGCTTGCCCTGCCGAGTCATTATCTAAATACGATATAGGACTTAAAGAACCCGCGGGAATACATAGCCGAAAATATCAGACTAAATACTGGCCAAGATATCTCGCCACTGTGATGTACATAAGCAGGCCCTCCCTTCTTTCTCTAGACAGCTTGGGTCAGCCTAATAGGCACGGTTAGTACCCCGTATTTCAAAAGATCCGAAGACCATTTGAGTGAATCGTACTCGTTGAGAATATATTCATGCGTATTGAGAATTAGACACTCTACGATATACAGCAGTTGGTATCACAGCGCACAAGATGGGTACTTATTCGTCGGTTGGGACTAATATTAGGCAATCGCCTGCAGGTTCTCTTCTTAGACGCAATAGATACGACGCGAATAATATCCCGTCTACTGAATATATATAAAATCTTGTAACAAGTTTGACTTCAGATGAGGCTTACGTTGCCAGCGTCTGACCCTAGCCTACTTTAATGCATATATGTTACATATACCTGTTATCATGGTATAGATGGTAGTTTTTACAATTCATCCTTAATGTTAAGCTGTGCTGTCTCCCTGGTTGTACCAGGCTCGTGGCATTGGAAACCCTGAAGGGTCAAAGTGCCAACCTTTGGATAAACACATATTGGGTGGTGCACCTTGTCTGATTCATCAACCTTTCCTAGCACAACAGCATCCAGCTCTTCTGGCGTAATGCTGTCTTCGACCCAAAGACGCAGAGTGTCAAGAGCGTTCAAAGGATATGGGACTCCCGGAGGCGCCCCACAGTGCCTGGCCCCCGGTACCTCAAAGTAGCGGTAGTAATCCTTGGTATCGATACCACGCTTCTGGTCGGCAGCTATGACTTCCTCGTAGTACTGCATTGCGGCGTTGACCGAAATGGCCTCGTCGTTGGTTGAGTGCCACATTATCATCTTGTTCCCCTGTTCATGGAACTTTTGTAGATCTGGATCGTCGGCTCCGATCCACCAGCCATATTCACGCACGCTTTCGCGAAATATCTGGGCATACTGCTCGTGTGTCAAGGTACTAGGATCAAAGGAAGGGTCCTTTTTGACTAGAAGTCTGATCCAGTCTATCGCTATGGGGAAAGGAACGCCGCCGGTACATTGCCCATCCGCACAGAGCGTGTTCGCAGTAGCGACGAAACCGGTAGCGGCCGTTCCATGCGTCGTCCCGGGGAAAAGCTGCTCACCCTCTGGGTCGGTAGGCCCTCGCAGCATTGCCTTCACAATTTCGACCGTTTCCTTAGTAATCCGAGAGGGTGTTCCCTGGCAATCAAACTCTTTTCCGATCACTGACTCCGGTTCGAAGTCGCAGAGGTCTCGCCGAGAGATGATTCCATCATTTACCCCATCAAGTTTGTCACAAGCCT